GGGTCATACGTCGCCATGTTACCAATTCCAACGGTAACTTAAACATCCTAATTTGTAACTATATATAATGTAAAACAACTGTAAATTTATAACATTTAAAGGGTTTTGACCCATATATTTTGGTGGCTCATAGCATGTATACCCATTTACACTGATGATGGATTTAACAATCCGAAAACGTTCTGTAATGTAATTGTAATAGCCCGTTTGGGCATTTTATTATATACCTTTTACAAAGGATTTGAAATAAATTTTTTAATTATGTAACAATTATCGCACAATAGTACTAATGACACACTGCAGCAAAATACTTTTACAAATAGTACTAGACTACAAGCCGAAGCAAGATTTTTAATGGATCATTTGACCCAGCATGAATCACATATAAAACAATACTACAATGTGTAGTAACAACTTTATGTCGTCAATTCTTATTGGTACAGGGCACAGGGGTGAGTCGCAGGTAAGATAAACTTACCACTTAATGAGGGGGGGGACTTCTTTTTTGCCAAAATTATTTGTGTGGCATTACTTAAATAGGTAATACAAAAATAACCTGCGACCTGATAGTACAAAAATAATGGTATCAGGAACAGGAAAAATTTTTTTTATTTTCGTAAAACTTTTTTCCTATTTTCAGCAATTTGACACAGTACGGTATTCATGCACAAAGTTTTGGATCGGTATATAGATTAATTTTTGTAATGCCGTACCTTTTGGCTGAAACAGGGGTGAGAAATCTAAGGAACAATAATTAATTTGAATCCCCATGCTTTGAGTACCGATAATAATTGACGGCATAGTTTCTAAAGTTGTTATTACAGAGTATGAAAAAAATAGGAAATGTGGCAAAGGACCCAGTGTTAGACTTCGGAGATATTAAGACATGTAGAGAATATAAATGCCTCGGTAGTATACCTACTATCAGAAGAAGAAACATAGACAATAGAGATCAGTAAGAGAAAAAATCGACTAGCATTTTAAATTTCGTAATATGATACGAAAATATTAAGTTAAAAACAAAAATGACAATCTAGCAAACACTGATAGAGCCTATTTTGACACATGGGTCAAATTTTTGACAACTTTTACATCAAGATAGACTGAAAATAAAGGGGCAACTGAAATGGATTTTATAAGAAGACCATGCCGAGTATCCGCAATTGAGCATATTAGAAATGAAAAAATACGGTATAGGACAAACAGAGTACGTGTAATACGGTATATTCTAGTATAGAGAGGATAGAAAAAAAACAGCTATTGCAGTATGGTCACGTCATGAAAATGAGCGAAGAACGCTAACCAAAAAAGGCATTAAACTATCTAACATAGCATAGAAAAAGTCAAGGAAGATTTCATTGGAGCAATTTCATGGCAAGATGGTATCCGGTGCTTTATAAGAAACACAGCTTTGGAGGAGGAAGACTGCATAGATATTAAATGATGGTGATCGAGATGCGGGGAGCGGCAAAGGCTTTAGGACTTCGCATAATGGTTTTTCGTCTGTGTACGAATATATTTTTTGTGCATATCTGAGTTTCTACATTGGAATTATTACCAGGAAATTCATGAAACCAAGCTGTTCATTAAATGCTTGCATTTTGCGCAAGTTAGCTTGTAAACGATTTTTTTTGGTATTTTATAGAATACATGACATAAAATTGTTGTAAATATGAGTTTTAACAAATCTATACTAGTACTGAACCATCATCAAAGATGTTACAGTACTGAACCGCTTCTCAACCGGTAGCGATCATAGACTTGTCAGAGCCAAACTCAGGATTAATAGCCAATTCGAAACAAAAAATAAAATAGAAAATGTATCGAAACTAGATATGGAAAAACTTAAGCAATCAAAAGACGAATATAAACAAAAAATAAAGGAAAGTATACCGGTTACTAGAGATTTGGAAAACAAAAATATCGATGAAATAAATCAGCTATTAACCGATACATTAGCAAAGGCGGGAAAAGAGGTAGCACAAACAAGAATAAAAAAATAAAAACTATGTATCCCAGGAAACAAAAAATCTCATGAGTATAAAAAACCTTACTGGAACAAGATAAGAGAAACACAGTAGATTACAAAGAGGTAAACAAAGCTATCAGAAGGAATATCAAGGATTATAAAAGGAGAGTACAGGAAGAAAAAATAGAAAAAGCAATTGAACAAAATAAAAACATGAAGTGCTTAAAACCACAGCTTGGAACCATACAAATTATTAGTATAAACAACAAAGAAGGTACAGGGACCAATAATGTAGAAGAAATTATACAGATAACACAAGAATATTATAAAAACCTCTACAATACAAAACAGAAACCAACCCAAGAAATCCTTAAGCAACTACAAATAAAAATAAAAAATGTTAATTCCGACTTACAACCAGAGATCAGTAAGAACGAGATAAGAAGAGCACTCAAAGAGATGAAGAACAATAAATCGCCAGGAAAAGACGGGGTGACTGTAGAAATGCTAAAACATGGTGGGAAAACAACTAGAGAAGTTTTGTACATACTTATGAATAAAATTTTAATGACAAAACAAATACCCAACAGTTGGAACGAAGCAATAACACTGTTACTATTTAAGAAAGGAGATAAAAAGGATCTAAAGAATTACAGACCCATAACTTTATTAAATGTGATGTACAAACTATTAACCAAAATATTAACAAATAGATTAACAACTAAATTAGATGGATACCAGGCAAGAGAACAAGCCGGATTTAGAAAGAGCTTCAGTACAAGTGACCACCTTTTAACGATGAAGATTTTAATCGAAAAAACTAACGAATATCATATCCCGCTATACATGGCATTTATTGACTTTGAGAAGGCATTTGATAGTGTGGAACACTGGGCAGTACAGAATTCCCTACAAAACAGCAGAATAGACTACCGATATACCAACTTAATTACAAATATATACAACAAGGCAACAACAACTATTAAGCTAATGAAACAAACGGAGCCTATTAAAATAAACCGAGGAGTAAGACAAGGAGATACCATCTCGCCCAAGTTATTTAACCAAGCGCTAGAAGATGTTTTTAAACGACTACACTGGGATGACTTGGGAATTAATATAAACGGGCAAAATCTGAATCATTTACGATATGCTGATGATATTGTATTAATAACAGAAAAAAGTGAAGAATTACAAAGAATGATGGAAGAACTAGATAGAGAATCGACAAAAATTGGACTCAAGATGAATTATAGTAAAACAAAAACCATGACTAATCAACCAGAAGAACTTATAATTACAGTGGCACAAACAAAAATAGAACAAGTAAAAGAGTATATATATCTAGGCCAAATCACTAAATTAAATAAAGAAAATCAGACCGAAGAAATAAAGAGAAGAATAAGATTGGCCTGGGCATCATTCGGAAAACTGTCTTATATTCTAAAGAATTCAAAATACCCCCAATACTTAAAAACGAGAGTCTTCAATCAATGTATACTCCCTGTCCTCACATATGGCTCTCAGACATGGACGTTTACAAAGGAAAATATGGAAAAAATAGCAAAGACAGAAAGATCCATGGAAAGACAAATGCTGAACATTAAACTATCAGACAAAAAAAGAAACGAATGGATCCGTAATAAAACAAAAGTGAAAGATGTCTCAACCCAAGTAGCAAAGCTTAAATGGAAGTTCGCCGGACACACCCTAAGGCAGAAAGATGAAAGATGGACTAAAACAATTATACATTGGAGACCATGGAATCACAAACGTAAAAGGGGAAGGCCACAAATGCGATGGTCAGATGACCTGAAGAAACACGCCGGGTCAAAATGGATGCAAATTGCCCAAGATAGAGAGGCATGAAAGAAGGAGGAGGAGGCCTATATCCAAGGATGGATGTTAATAGATAGATAGATACTAGTACTACCAAAAGAATGAAGCCGTGTAATCCAATTTTTGAAATTATTCTTGTTGTCTATTTGCCTGATGTTCATAAATAGTGCCATAATAAAAGACAGAAGATGGTGAAGATATGAAAACTATTTAAAAAAAATTAAGGTACAAATGAAGGAAAAAATAACTAAATCGTGCAAAGGAAATATAAAGAGGAGAAAAAGAATAATAAAAATACATAATAGTCCACAATATGTAAGAGCACTAATAAACAAATCAAATTAGAAAATATCCACAAACATCATATTAAGAATAAAAATAGAAGAATGGATATTCGTACAAGAGATAGACGGAAGATACGATATGGGGAATATGTAAAAGAAAACGAAGATAAGAAACATGGCCAATATAGAAAATATTGAACTGATAATAAAGAAATTAAAAAACAACAAAACTCGGCTGTTTTCCATATTAGATGATTTTAAAATGATGTTTTTAAAAACGACTTAAAATTTATTTTTTATATTATAAATCTTTTAAGGTGGGCGTAAAAATAATATGCTTGGAAATCAATTAGAAAATACGGAAAACTTTAATAAAATATTTTACGATTGTAAAAAAATGTCGTTGTTGAATGATACTCTGTTTTTGCTAACAGTAATTTATGTTTTGGAATGTTGTGCCTTCTGAGGATGTTGAATAGAAAAGTGCTCTTCAGAAAGTTCCACTGACCCCATTTATAATGCTCATTTTATTCTTTCAACAGAGAGTGAAGATACCCGAAAGTCATCGTCAGAGAAGAAAGAACGAAAAAGAGCAGCGTACCACCTGTAGTCCTCTCAGCGGTACCATCTACCATCCCGGCATGATTTGCGACCTGAGGCATTCTTCTTCGAGCCACTCCCTCTCACCAATCGCGGCGGAGGTACCAGAAGATGGCCAGGACGCGCTCAGAGTGGGGCTGACGTAACGTGAAGTCGAATCGGTACTGTAGTCACCGGAGGTGCAAATCCAATGCAAGGATAATCTGGGAAAGATGCACAAGTACTGCACTCAGTACTTTTTGGCACTTGTCGCGTCTCGGCCGATGATTAGCTGATAGTGGTGCGGAAACGGACAGTACTCTGGAACGATGAGGTGGTGCGTAGTGTTCCTTTTGGGAGTTTTCGCGGTGGTGGATGCGTGCGGGCCCGGCCGCGGAGTGGGACGTCGACGGGGCTCCAGGAAGCTCACCCCTTTGGTCTTCAAACAACACGTTCCGAATGTGCCGGAAAGTACGCTAACGGCCAGCGGTGTTCCCGAGGGAAGGATTGACAGAAACGATACGAGGTTCAATGATTTAGTGCCCAACTACAACGACGACATCATCTTCAAGGATGAGGAGGGAACGGGAGCCGATCGGTTAATGACCCAGGTAAGAGTTTTATCCATTGTCTCGTTCAGATTAAAATTTATTATACATCTCATTTATTTATTTATTCATTTAATGTTTACCTTATTTGAATAATTAATAATTTGCATAATAAACATTAAGATCTTCAAGTTAAAAATTATGATTAAATCGTGGAGGCTCATTCCCGGCGCTGAATTAGAAAACATTAAAGAACATAAATTACACAATACTTTTTACGAATTAAATTCATTCTATTTTTTAGAATACTTATTGGTCCCTAAAATTGACTAACGACAAATTTGTTTAGTACTTTATATTTTGCAAGTTAATATATACAATGCCCAAAATATATAAAAAAATGAATTTTTACAGGAAACTTAATGAATGTGATTTGATCACATATATTCAATATATTTTCTGGAAGAATAATTATTCTTCATCATTCTAAATTGCAATTTTTTAATAAAAAATTGCTCTTTCTTAATATGTTAGTCACTTTTGCTTTATATATCATTTAGTACCGTTTTTTGTCATTAAACTTGTTTTATGATGTTTTTTATGGTTTGCCCTACTGCATATATTTATATCTACTATACCTTGAACGCAAGATTATTAATATTGAATTACCAGAGGTTTTGCTTCAAAAGTTACTTTATGTTTTTTTCTTTCCTGTTTTTACAAATGCAATTGACATTTTTGACAAATTAATAATTTACAAATTTTTATCGCTTTGCATTTTTCGGTTCAATAAGTTCTATTTTTTTTTTAATTTTACCCCTCATTTTCTTCAGAATCATATTTAAGATTTTTATTTTATTTCTTTCTATTGTAGGTATGTTTCAATTTGTAGGTTTCTTTCTTCACTTTATAATTTTACCATACCAATTTTACCTCTTTCCTTTATTGTTTTACCTTTTTTCGATTATTTTCTTTGATTACGCTTTTTGTATTGCTGCAGATATTGTTTAATTATATGCTTATTGTACTGATGATTTTCTGTTTTTATATGTCATGTATTTTTGTTGTTTCAATATTGATAACATTATCAGACAATGTTTTTTCTGTATTTCGTTTTAAATCTATTTTTTTTTGTTGTTTTCTTTTTTGTACCATTTTCTTATTTTGTTTTACTTATTTAATTATTTGATAAGACGTAAATAATTATTTTTCTTAGTTGTCCGAATTTATTCATATTTTTTTTTGTTTGTTTTTAATTGATGAAATATTTTGTGCTTCTTTGAAGTTCCTTTGTTTACTCCAAACTTTGACAACTGACATATTCTACCAATTGTTTCTTTTTCTGACAGTTGATTTTTGCGGCAATTTGTAATAATGTTCTATTCTAGTTTTTTAGTTCTAGTTTATAAACTCTGTCATTACGTGATTATCTTCTTCTTCTTCTTCCTACTTTATAAATAGGCTTAATCCGTGTTTTACTTCGGTTTTTAGCCTCAATTGACGTTGTCTGAACATATTTTCCTCGGTCGTCCTAGTGATCTGCTTCCATTTGGTGATTTGTCTCTTGCTATTCGTACTATTCTCTGTCATTCTTTCAATGAGTTGATTCCATTCCACTTTTCTTCTTTTGGTCGACGCGTTTATTTCCTCTATACCACATCTCGCTCGTATTTCCTCACTTCTTACTCTGTCTCTTAGAGTTTGGTTTGTTATTTTTCGTAAGACTTTCATTTCTGTTCTTTCCAGCAGTCTTTGTGTTTCTCCGTATCTGCTCTTGTTTCCGCTGTGTAGGGTCATTATCGGTCTTATTGTTGATTTATATATCCTGGTTTTCGTTTCGTTGTGAGGTATTTGTTTCTCCAGATTGTGTTGTTGAGACATCCTGCTGCTCTGTTTGCCATGTTCACTTGTTTTTGTACTTCTTCTTCCACTTTTCCGTAGCTTGACAGTTTTATTCCCAAGTATTCAGTTTCCATCACTTGTTCTATTATTTTGTTATTTACTACTAGTTTACATCGTCTCGGTTCCGCTGATATCACTATCGCTTTAGTTTTCTCTGTTGAGATAACCATGTTGTATATGAGCGCCGTATCTTCGAATTCTTTAATTAATCTTTGTAGGTCATCTTCATTTTCAGCTGTTATTATATATACGTGATTATATACCTAACAATATATTTGACATGTTAATCAATATAATATCTAATAATATTATTTTAAAAATAAGTAGATACAAAAAACACGCTATAAACTTCTATAAGACGACTTTTGTTTATTTTCGCAAACTACTGTGATTTGTTTTTTAACCAGGAGGAGTAAACTAAAAAGACAGATTTACACCCAAGAAAGGTACTAGAAAAGTAACCAAAAACATCTTCTTTTTTGGTTGATTATCTCGGCTTGCGGTTATCCAGTATCGGACAACCTCACACATCGATTCTAACCTAACTTTGTTTGTTTATGTTTGAATAATATTTTTTCGGTTGTCATTTTCATTCCAGGACTATCAATTTTTATTTGTTTGTACATGTTTATAATGCATTGTTTTTCGTTTGATGATAAATGACCTAAATCTACTCGACGTTGTTTAGGCGGAGAATGATAATTACCACTAATAGTACTTGACATTGAATCTATACTTATCTTAATAACAGTAATACGTCGCTCAATAGTTATGAAAAGAACTGTTTTTTATATAAATGCAATCGCAAAAGTCTAAAAATTAAAGGAATAACGCAGAAAATACAAAAATCGTCGATATAAATTTGAATTTAAAATTATACTTAAATGTCATTAGTGTCAAAATGTCATAATTTAGTGAAGTAAACTTGCCTGGGGTTGGACCAAATGCAAACAAACATTACGGCGCGGTAAATTTGAATTACTAATCCTGGTTAAAAAACAAACCATAGTTTGAAAAAATCCTACAATTGATATGACCGTTTACAAAAAATTAACCAATATCATACCGATTAGGTTTGAGATTTGATTTGTACAAACGCGAAGATTGGACACTAAATTTCTACAGTTATAATGTGTTATTTTTTATTATCTACCCACTGCTCACTTTGACAAATGACATACTCCGTCATCGACAATGACTTTGCTTTTGAAGGTTATAATTACAAAAACAATATAATGAATAAGTCTATTATGGTTTCCTTACAAATTAAATCTCCTTAATGAAGTTATAAATCTATTAATACACAAAATGTGCAATAAAAATTATAGTATACACAAATTGCTATTGCATAAGAGTATGTAAACAAATTTATCGATGTTTTACATCATTCTGTATTTGCCAGTTCAATAACAACATTATAATCGATGTATGTGTCGATAAAAAATTCTCAACGAAAGTGTTAATTAAGAATTATTTGTTATATACAAGGTAGTTACTTGATAAAGTATTTATAAATATATAAGTATGTTGTGAGTATTAGGATTTGGTAATTCACAGCGTAATAAAACAATACAATGCAGGAAAACATTCAAATATATTTGATATTTGGTGTAAAGCTCCATACTAGATAATTTCTGTAAGCATTTCTTATCTTGATATATTTCGTCCAACTTTATTATATTATTCTATTATTATCAAGATCGAGTCAACAATACAAAATCACAATCAATATGCACTATGGTTGTTTTTAACCAGGGGGAGTAATTCAAATTTACCGCGCCGTAATGCTTGTTTGTAATCGGTCCAACTTCAGGCAAGTTTTCTGCACTAAATTATGACATTTTGACACTAATGACATCTATGAAATTTTAAAATTAAAAATTTATATCGAGAATTTCTTGTATTTTCTGCGCTATTCCTTCAATTTTTAGATTTTTCGTTTGCATTTATATAAAAAACAGTTTTTATCGACATATTAGTGATATTATGATAACAATATGGATTAAATGTCAAGCACTAGTGGTAATTATCCTTCTCCACCTAAAAACGCATTTTTTGGGTAGAAATATAAGAAGACTGGAACAGTAAGAGCAGAGTAACAGTAAGATATCCTAAAAATTTTGGCGGTCGACCTTATATCCTTGCAAAATACGATGAAAGAGGAAAGAGTTAAAACATCTGTACGACTGATATATTCAAGTACATAGCTTCTTTTACAAGAATGAAATGTTTACTTTAAATAAAATTTGAAATTAAATAAAATACATGTTTATATTCTTCTACAATGTGATAAATAAACCCTAAAAATTCTTCAACTTCTTCACAACAATCCAACATTTTTGTTATTGCAATTAGAAAAACAAAAAAATATACATTGGAAGTGAATTAAAAAAAATGTTATTCAAACATAAACAAACAAAGCTAGGTTAGAATCGACGTGTGAGGTTGTCTAATACTGATTACTGGAATAATGGCCGAGATAATCAACCAAAAAAGAAGAGGTTTGGTGACTTTTCTAGTAACTTTCTTGGGTATGAATCTGTCTTTTTAGTTTACCTCCTGGTTAAACAACAAACTATAAAAATAAACAAACCAAGACCCGTTAAATGTTACAAGGAGCTTTCTCAAATAATGATTTAACAATGTATATACATCGTATAAATCTCAAATCATGATTTACAAAGTTTATACATTGTAAATCATGATTCGGGAGTGTGCCTCGTAACATTCAAGTGTCTTAGTTTGTTTATTTCTAATGCATCTTGATTGTGATTTTAGTATAATGTGTTTTATTAAGTGGTTAGTTAAATATTGGATCATTCTCACGATTTATTTTTACATCTATTAAAAAAAAGTGGTACAATAGGCAGTTCAGTAGACTAGCAAGAATCTTCATACTGTTTTCGGTATTTTTTAAATTTAAATATAAGGAAAATTTAAATAATAAAGGTTATCCCCTATTGCCATATTTTAAAAAAAAAAATTATAGGGAATATTTAAATTTTTTTTACATGCGACTCCTATTACAGCGAGCGTTTCATTGGCTGGAACTGGTGACGAGTTTATATGACGTCATTATTAGTTTTGGTAAGATTGGAAATCCTAACTGACAACTGTCATAATATTGGAATCAATTTCTAGGTTAAACATGATATTTCCATAGACATTTAATACAAAGATATTTCTATGAATCTAATTTTTGTATAAAGGAGGTTAAATAAAACGTGAAAATATTGTTTTCAAATTATAATCTGGGAAGACCGAAATAGAGATATATTAGACATTTATTTCTTAAGCAGTCGTTCTCCTAGTTTGTGGTCTGTGTTCCTAAGCTGACAATGCAAATGTGTGAACATAAAAACAGTACCTAATATTGAAACTATGGGAGCCAAATGAAATGTTGAATTATGACCTTTTTGCCTTCTTTTGGAATAAAAATACTTAAAA